ACACGCGCACGCGCACACGCGCACACGCACACACGCACACACGCGCACACGCACACACGCACACACGCGCGCACGCACGCACGCACACACGCACACACACACACACACACACACACATTTGTGGTAGAGGTCGCGGCCCCGGGGGCCCGGGCCCTGGTGCGCCGTTATGTGTATATTCTTTCTGAAGTATACATCTGGAGAGAGCGTGTGGAAGAGGAAGAGGAGGAGCAGAAGAAATCGGTCCGTAGGCGGCCCCCACGGGACTAGAATTTGGCAAGGCTGCGCGCGCGGGTTGCGCATACTAGTGGCGCATGCGGGCCGGCGGGTTGCGCGTGGAAGCCGAAGTAGGGAGCAAAGGGTATAGAGACTAAAGAAAAGAGGGAGCACAATAGAGAGTAGACAGCACAACATTCAAAGTTCCTGGTATACGCAGGCAGTGGGGAGCGAAGAATAGTGGGTAACACCAGATAGAGCAATTGGTAGACAGCGGGCAGTCGAGAAGCAAGTAGGGGCGGGCCGAACACAGTAAGCAATACCAAATAGTGGATACACCACGCATCTGTGAATACAGAAGACAGGTAGCACATACCCTATAGGAGAGGGCACAGCCGAGAATAGAGAAAAGACGGTTGAAGGTATCTGATTAAATCTAGCAGGAAGAAGATTAGATGACATCGTATACATAAAACGACTACATATGCTCTAGAGACTTGGTTTACCATCTGCATCACCACTATCACCATGCATCACCGTCCAAACCGAGACAGACGCCCTCAATCCGTGTAGCTGCTGGCACATTGAAGCTCAACGATGGCAATCATTCAAGGCGTCTCATGCGACTACCACGTTTCGAGAATGGCCTGCTCTCCAATCGTGCAACTGTTGGAATGTCCAAGCCATAGGATCACGAAGTGTGTAGAATATTCAAGCGAGACGCCGATACCGCCCTACCGAGACGCCCGTTGGTGCGACGAGGTGGGATTTGTAGAAAGACTGGGGAACGTAAGCGGTGGATGGGAGCAGGAGAAGGGAGGCAGAGGAGCAAGGGAGTATGGTGGGAGCAATAATGGGAGCAGGGGGAGCAGGGGCAGGAGGAGGAGGGGGAATGAGGAGAGGTGGGAGGAGAAAAAGGAGGTGGTGGAGGAGGAGGAGGAAGAGGAGGGGGGTCAGGACCCAGAGGCTCCAGGAAAGTGAGCGCTTTCTTATTCGGCATTTCGACATTTGGCGAAGGGGGGGGGGGAGGGGGGGGTCTGGCTCCAGACCTCTGCTAAATGCATGCGGCTGTCTGCAGCAATGCGTCCTATGGGGCAGGGGCTCCGCCTGCTCGAAACAGGCGCCAAAAATAGCCAAGATCTACTCCATGGGGGGGGGAGGGGGGGGGGTGCGAGGGCCCGCGCTGGTCGGCAAAACAATGAATAAGAAAACGACGACAAAATTGAAGCGGCCGTTTGATTGCAGTCTTCGGCCTCTGGGGGGCCCTCAACGTGCCCCGGGACTTACAAACGAAAAAAAACCTCTGGATGAAAAGCCGGCGTTGGGAAGTTGTCCAGACCTCTGGGGTCCATGAATCAAACCAATGAGCGCCAGATGTCTGGGGATGGGGAGGGGCGGAGTGCGGACGCGGAGCCATGGGGGTGACGAGGCGCTGCCGCCTGAGCTGCTTCCCCGGTCCGTCAGTGCATCCCTGCTCTGCGATCAGGGGCTGGGGCTGCCCCTCGGTTCCCGTCTCCACCTGCCGTGCTAAGGATTTTGCGAGCACGGATAGTCCCCCTCCCCCGAGGAATCAAGCACGTTGTGCTGCTATCCCCTCAAATGGGGGTATGGCCAAGTGTCCGGACGTGGCACTTCCAGGAGCCAGGAAGAAAAAACCAAACAAAAACTCTGGAGAGAGCTCTCCAGGGAGACTGGAATGCTGTCACGGTGTGGGTGTCGGCCTTGCACCAGTTTGCTGCAAAGCCCCACTCCGCAATCTGCGAGCATGGAAAAGGAGGTTCTGTTGGGCCTCAACGACAACTGCTCAACGGTGACAGCACGTGCAGCGAGGGCCACGTAGGAATGAAAAGAACTGGGATGGGACCACCACCGGGACGAAACTCATGAAGCGAGTTTGACCACAGCACCACCTGGAGCCGCCGAGGAAATTCGGACGAGGAGAACACCACGCGCGATACACAATGAGTAATACCAGGAAGCCCTGCCTCGTCAGAAAAAGGAAGGTGGCCGCAACGAAACGGAGCAGAGAGTGGAAGAGGGGAGGAGGAGGCAGAAGCTGGAGCCGCAACGCCCCACTCCCCGCCTCTGGGTGGGGGGATGCTGCCCCCCCCGCCACCACCCCGCCCCGCCCCGCCCCGCCCAGGCCCCGCGAAAAAAAAGGGGGGGGGGGCGGCGGTGAGAAGGCGCAGCCGGGCCTTCCTGCCATGACGAAGTGCACACGTTTTTGATTCGCGGGTCGAGAGCGCACCTCTTCCGGTCGACGCTAAGCGGGCCGCGCGAAGCTTGAATTAACAAAGAGGGGGACAGAAGGAGGGGCCTCACGGCAAGGCCAGGAGGAGGCAAAGCCTCGGGATCAATGACGAAGTGCACACGGCACAGCAAGAAAGTGGAATCTCCGATCCCTCCGAAGACTCTTGTCGTGGGCAGGCGGCTCCTGCGCTCCCGCGGAGCATTCCTTTCGCCCCCCTCCCCCCCCCTCAATCAACAGTTCTGTCATCCCGAGTCGAGGTGGACAAGTACCCCGCCCAACCCACTGGGGCATATGGGACGGGGTGCGCGTCCGCGCGGAGCGACTTGTCCTCCGCCCACGCCGCCGGCTGGCAGTCATCTCGACATCCATACCACACCTCACTGAAGGGGCCCTGGGACACACACACACACACAAATAGACACAAGTAACTGGATCCCCCCTACTTCTCCCATATGTTCTGGGCTCTCGTCTTCCCCCCCCCCCACTTCCCACATTCCCCCACACTTCCTGGGGAATCGACGATCCCTTGCGTCCGTGTGTGTTTTTCCCTCCTGGCATGTGTCTGTCACGGCGAGCGGCGGGCGACGAAGGGCGCGAGCAGAGTGCTCCTTCCTCGGGGACGCCGGTCCCAGGGAGGCTGGAAGGTTCCCTGCCCCCACGGTGGCAGGTGCTGGAGGCCTGGAAGTGGGCACCAGCAGCAACACAGGGGGTCTGACTCCACAGGGGGAAGCTGATCCTAGATCTCGGTGTTGGTGGTAATACTTCGGTCGCCTTGGAAGCCAGAATACTACCACCATCACCGAGATCGGGATCTTCTTCCCTCGGTGGAGGCACACCGCTGGTTTTGGTGTTGGTGTCAACCTCCAGGCCTGCGACATGGTGGCAGGTGGGGGTGTATACAGGATTCGTCCTGACCAAAGGAACGATAAATAAGGGAACGAAGCCCCTTTTTGTTCCAAGCAGGTCTACGAGGTCCCGTTTTTCCAGCCGCCCTCATCGACAAAACGAATCCGCGCGTCCAAACTCTCAAGGAACACCAGGGGGCTCGCCGCCCAAATGGTAGCGGAACGCATGCAAACCCAAGGAACGACCGAGCCGCTTTCGAAAAGCAAGTCTTCCTGATTCAAGTCGGACCATGTATACTACCCAGCTGCCCTGGGTCAGGCGCCGATCGCGAGATATGTTTCTGTTGTGCGCCCCTCTGCGCCCGCTGATATGGACGGGACTTGCAGCTTGCCAGCGTCCGAATTGGGCACGGAGAAATAATGTGTACGATGCCAAACCGCAGATGTTGTCCAACATTGGCACGGCTGCAGTTGGGCAGGCGACATCGTGCCTTCAGTGAGCAGCGTCCGCGGCGACACCGACAACGAGTCTTGTTCGAAATGCACGAGTCGTCCGTACCCAGTCGGTTGGTTGGTTGTCCGACAACGAACTGCTATTGGTTTTCGTACCCAGTCGTTCCGTACCCCTTTCTATCGTGCCGAGGGGCGGGGAAGCCGCCCCCCTACCATCTTCCTCCGCCTCGCACTCTCCTGGCCATCGCTCGGACGTCCACTCCCCGTGCAATGTTTCGGCTTCGTGCGCTTTTGTCTGCAAGACGAGCCAGGACGCTCCTCGATGGTCCCCACCGAGAAACCACGCACGCGTCCGAGCGATGTCAAGACTCTTTCCCAGCAGCTCTTCCCCATCCAGGGACGACGAGGCGGCGGAAAGGGAGAGGAGAGGCAGGGGAGGGGACGGGGGGGAGGAGGATACCGTGGCGGAGGGAGGCCGAGCGTCCAAAAGGAGGAGGATGAGGAGGAACACGAAGAGGAGGCGGAGGAGGAGGAGGAGGAGGAGCAGGAACAGGAACACGAAGAGGAGGAGGCGGAGGAGGAGGACGACGACGACGACGAGGAAGAGAAGGAGGAGGGGGCGCCGAAGCTCCCACCCCCCCATCCCCACTCCACCTGCTCCGACACCAGCCGAGACATCTGGCGCTGCGAGTTTTCGAAGCGAGGGGCCCCGGAAGTCTGGACCACATCCCCAGGACTGGCTCTTCGTCCCGAGCCGCTGTTGCACGGTCCTGGGGCCCGTGGAGGGAGGGTCACCAGAAGCCGAACACGGCTCAAGAAACGGCCGCTCCCATTTTTTCCGAGCCTCGCATCTCTCGAGTAGGGTTAGGTCGGGCATGACCTCCTACAGGTTTTTTGAAGACAATTGACGGATAGTCCAAAATCGTCGAAAATAGTCTCATAGTCAAAAGATCGTCCCCAAACTATTTCGTGACTATTCTTGACTATCCTCCTGTAGAGGGACATACCCGACTTAAGAGTAGGGGGTCGACCACGTAATTCATTGCTCCAATACTGATGCTCCCGCCGGATCGACGGAAGATGCGTAGAATGCCCCGTATATATCTACGAAGATTCTACGCGTGTCTTGCATCTTCGGCGGAAAATGAATGGTGGAGCAAACCACTTCTGTAGTTGATCCCCTGTTCGAATCTCTGGGAACGTCTCTCCTCTCATCCTCCTGCCCGAAGGCGGCGCGCGATCCTGCGTGCGGGCCTCGATCATGCGCGAGGCCGCCGAGAGGGCCACCGACGCCACGGCGGTAACCTGCGCGGGCGCGCCGGACATCGGCCGTCTAGAGTTAGGTCGGGCATGTCCCCCTGCAGGCGGATACTGGACGAACAATTAAAAATAGTCAAAACAAGAATCAACAAATCGTCCCAGACTACTTGTTTTGCTATTTTCGAATGTTCCTCCTGTAGAGGGACACGCCCGACTTTAACCTAGAACCGCACGGGAGTGCCGCGGATCGGGCTTTCGCCAACCGAACAGAAAGCCACAGGGCCGAAGGCCTGAAGTGGAGGAAGCAAGGGTGGGCAAGGAGAAGGAGGAATATGGGTACTGCGACAATTGATTAGGTGCCGCGCACACCCGGCGCCGCACCTAATCAACTATCGAAGTACCCATCTTCCTCCTCCTTCTCCTTGCCCACCTCGGGGATCTTCTTATCCGAATCAAACCAGACCCGGGTCAGTCAGGCCCTGCAGAATCCTGCAAGATCCTGCACCCGAACCCGGGCCAACGCGAAGGATTCTGCAAAATCCTGCAGGATCCTGCACCCAAGCCCAGGTCAGTGCGACCCTGGCTCTGCAGGATCCTGCAAGCAAAGGCGATGTGACTGACTCCCGTTTGCATCGACCCCCGTGTCTTGAGCCTCGACCACCCTTGCTTCCGCCACTCCCGGCCTTCGGCCCTGTGGCTTTCTGTCCTGTGCCAGTAGCGAGGCCAGTCCTCACTGCGGTTCGCGAGGAAGCCTGTTGCCCAGGGAGCGGGTTCAGAGAGGCCGCGCGGGTTCGAACAGACGAGGCACCGCGTACCGTCGCTCCCGCCCTCCTCTTCCTCGATCCACCAACTGACTCCTTCTGCTCATCCTCCCCCTTCCTCCTCCTCCCTCCTCTTCCTCCTCCTCCTCCTCCTCCTCCTCCTCCTCCTCCTCCTCCTCCTCCTCCTCCTCCTCCTCCTCCTCCTCCTCCTCCCCCTCCCCCCTCCTATTCCTCCTCCTTCTCCTCCTCATTTTCCTCCTACTACTGTTCCTTTTCCTCCTCCTCCTCCTCCTGTTTACGCCTCCTCCTCCCCCTCCTCCACCTTACTGCGCTCATCCTCATCCTCCCTCTCCTCATCCACCTCCCCCGTGATTGTCACTGACGGCATCGGACTCCACTGTTGGACACTGCGATCCTCCTGCTCCTCCTCCTGCTGCTGCTGCACCGATGAAAAGGAGAGTTGAATTAGGGAGGGGCCTCACCTCACCGCCCCGCCGAGTGCGCAATCAGTCGTGTTGCTGCACAAACTCATAAAACGGGTCGAGGGGAACGTAAAAGTTCAGAGCCTCCTCCGGAATGTCACAGCCAGGCAGACCATTAGGCAATCCTGGAGAAACCGCATCTAACACAACCATCGCTAGGAAACGCGACAGAGCTGATGGGTACTCCTTCAGAGAAGCGGTCCGATATTGTCCCCCGATCGTCCTGTGGCCGCGGGGTGGCCCCCCCTATGCTGACACCTCCATCGCCCTGGGATGCTGTTCAACATCCGCTGGAACCTTGGGATATTCACCGACAGCAGAGTCGTCGGCTTGAGATACTCGCACGAGAACATACACTGGTCGCATTCATGGGCGGTGGCTCCTGGGAGACCCCTGATCCACGCCAGTTCTTCCAGCTTCCAGCTCGATGCAGCCAGTGGCTGCCAGTGGGGGACAGCAGGGTGCTCCATAATCATGCTCACCCTGGTGGCCACCGCGGCGGTCAGAAACCTCATCGTCGTTCTGAGAAGGAGGTTCCCGATCTCGACCTTGCGCTGCTCCTTCACCGTCAGGCCCCGCTCTCCCCACGGCCGAGCGCGGCTCCTAACTGGTCGGGGACCCTGTCCCCCTTCTAACTGCTGCACCCGCACCGCCGACCACGTTTCGCAGGGCGGCCCCGCGAGCACCGCTACAACAACCCCCGAGGCCATAAGGCCAAGCCAGTAGCGGATCGTTTCCTGCCTCGAGAGGTCCCCCCACGCGCGGTCGTTAGCCACGTCCAGCGAAAGGGCCCACAAGGGTTTAGACTCCTGCGCACACACGTTCAGTTCCCCCACCCAATGCTGCACATCCCCTCACCTCCTCCTTCCTGGGAACAAATGCAGCACAAAAAATAGCTGAGCCTCCCTCTGTCAGGGCCGTGTCGTGCATGCACGTCCGCATCCCCCCTGCCCTCCTCCTCCCCCTCAGCGGATGAGACCAGGGCGGCCGACTCGGCCGTTTAATCTCCAGGACCTGCGCGCGCTGGGACGGGCGGGGCGGCCTCCGCGGCCGCTTCCTCATCTGCAAGAGCACTGGGGGGGTCATGAGCGGGGCCCCCGACTGGTGCTTCACCAGCCTCGCCCTGCTCATCCACCTCCCTCACCAGAGGGATACCAGGCCCTAAGATCTTGACTGCAGGCAGCAGCGATTTTTCCTCGTAAAAACCAGCCGCGCGCAACCGACGACTGTCGGTCGCGTCATCATCCTTAGCGGCCACAAGGTCCGCATCAGAAAGAGGGGCGAAGAAGCCCCGCAATGCGGGAAGACAGCCCCTACACCTGTGCCTGAGGTGCCTCGCGAGCCTCAGCCGCGCATGAAACTCCGCGCAGCACGCGGCACACGCCGACCCGTGAGCAAACCGCTGAGGCTCGTCTAGCTCGGGGTGTACCTTGCTTAAGTGCGACTTCCATCCCTGGACCGTTTTGAAGGCCCGACCGCACTCGTAGCAGTGAAACCCTTCCCGCTCACACCTGGGGGCCCGTCCGAGGGGGGGGGGGGGGCCAGCCTCTAGGGCTGTCGCGCAAAGTTCACGCCCCCACATCTTCCGATGGCACTCATCTCTCAAAAAGAACCTCCGCCCCTTCCACGCCACACGGACAATGCGCACGAACTCTAGGGGGAACGACCTGGCAAGAGCTATCACCTCCTGCCATGCCTGGGGCAGCCTTTTCCACACTGGGGGCGAACTGCCTGAGAACATCTATGTCACCGATGAGCCTTTGGCTCCACGAGCCCTGCTGCTGGAACTGGCCGTCGAGCACCCAGAGAAGCTGCCTGGGCGCCTTGCGCAGCAGGCGGGGGAGGTACACCAGGCGCCGATACCACAGAAGGCTGTCTAATGGAGCCCTCGCGGCTCCGTAGAGCACCTCCTCCAGGGAAGGGGCAGACCTCTCACCGGCCGTGCCTCTCATATCCGCCACCTGTGCACGCCGAAGAGCGTCGGTGTATGTAGCCTCTAGAGATGCCCATGCTTTGACTCCGACCCCGTGCCAGAGCTCAGCATTGAACAGAAGACGAGACAAGACGAGGGACTCCGCAAGCTGCAACTTCGGGGCCAGGGGGATCTGCGGGGCCTTGAACACCGCCCGCGTCAGCGGCCGCAGGGGGGCCAGAGCAGAAGCTTTCCTCTGGGCCACCTCTGGGCCCCAATCCAAGTCTCCCGACACAATAGTGCCAAGGGACTTCTCCTGCCGAACCACCTGCATGCGCGCATCAAGCTCGGCGAGGTACACCCGCCCCCCCCCTTCTCAACAAAGAGGTGCCGCTCCGTCCACTGCTTATTCCTACCCCTGATAGCGACCAGAACCTTTGCCTTATCGCGTTTAAAACTGTAGGCCAACCCGTGCGCCCCCGCCGCCTTGACCACTGCTAAGACAGCCTTCTGGGTGTCGTGCACGAGTGTCTCGTTTGAGGCAGGCGCGCACGGGAAGACCGCGTCATCCGCATGCGTCGAATCCACGAGTGTGCCGTCCTGTTGTTGGACAGGGAGCAGCACTCCTTCCTGCTCGGGACCCCCTTAGCGTGACGGACAGGCCCTCATGGGCCAGTCTCGCCTCCGCATCCCCCAGGACGAGGGTGAACATGACATTGTAGAAGAAGTCGGCCAACGAATTGCCTGGCCTCGAACCCTTGCGGGCCACCGCAGCCCTCGAAGGATCGCCAACACAGGACCACGCCCCCCTCTTCGATTCCGCGAGAAGCCTCTCCAGGTGGGGGGGCACCCTCCCCTCCAAGATGGGGGGGGGGGCAGCTAGGGCCGTCTTGAGCGACGGCACCAACCATTCGGGGATAGCCATGGTCCCCAACAGCTCCGCACGATCCTCCTTCGACGACGGCATCCGGATCACGAGCTCTCGAACCATGCTGTAGAAGGCACTCACAACATCAAGCATTGGTACAAACATTGGCCTCTTCACATGCTTCATATGCTGCACGAACGACGAGAGGGCATGCGTGGCGAAAGCTGTCCCCCTGCGTGGAATTCCGCCGCACTGTGAGTCCCGCAACAGATCGGACACAAAGTTATTCATACACTGACGGACGAAGGCATAGTGCACCTTGGGCACCGCATTATTTAGAGCCACCGACCTGAAGTGTTCCCGAATCCCCCAGGACCCTTTACCTTTGTAAATACCGCAGGCGAGGGCTTCTTTGAACGACGACGGCTCGACACCCCCCGGACACACCTTCGTGAACAGAGGATGCAAGACCCTCGCTACCTCCGGTGGCGCGGCCCGCAGGAGGTCAAACGTAGCCCCGCCCAGCCCTGGAGCTTTCCCCTGCGGCAGCTTGCGTAGCTTATCAATGACCCAACGGACCGTCGGCACATACTCGATACTGCGCTCAAAGTCAAGGGGCAGGGCAAACTCCGAGGGTTCAAGAAGCTGTCGCAACTCGGCGGAAGGGATCACCTTGGCCCCCTCAATCGCGGCAAACATGTCAAAAAAACAACTCGCCCCAACGCTGCTGCGTGAGCACTGGCTGCCCCTTCGGGTCCGCCCTGAGGGGGGGGGGGGGGGGGGGCGCGCCTTTATACTTCGGGGGAACCCAACCGCCAGCCCTCATCAACCTCTTCACCCCCCCCCAACAGGCCGCGGGGTCTTTTTTTGCCGTGGGCCGCCCCCACCTCCTCAGCGAGCTGCGTCGTGCGATGCGCTTTGTCCCCCTCTAGCGCGGCGCGGAGCGGGCCCCTGGGCTCGTCCAAAAAACTTCCGCCCAGCTGCCGCAGCTTCCGCCGCGTCCGCCTCCCCGCTGGTCCACA